GGGAGACATACAGGCAAATACAGCATCTCATGGCCTACTTTTCTCCTTAAGGAAGCATCCTAAAAATGTAAAAAATTGCCAAAACCATGTTTATTTTTATATAGGAAAAAGAATAGAGATCAATATATTCGTCAAATACAGCTGCGCTGTCTCCATCTTTGCACTTATCCGTCTTCAACCCCCCTCCCCCCAAACCATAAAGAGTAAATTCAGATGACTTCACAGCCTGCACAGTAACACACCCGAAAATGAACAAACATATCTTTTACACAAATAAAATTAATATTTTACTAGAGACCTACATATCTCAGTCTCTGCATAGTAAATTAAAGTGCAATGTAACAAAAGAACAATAGTGTGAGGACAAAATAAATTACATTACAAAAACAGCTAATAATCATCTGTCCTACTGGGATGACTTCATACATCTTCATTCTATGGCTTCTGAGAGAAAAATATGCCTTGGAATAAATTCCAATGATATATATGTACTCCTTTCCTGATGCCAAAATAATGCACTCAATTCTATTCACTATCTTAAGGGCACTACGTTACTTACACTTACTCTATTGTTAGCTTCCACTAGCGCTTCCTTGGATATCACTAGTATTCACGAAGACCAGGAATTATTAACTTCAATGCATACTGTAAAATGCAGTTGAAAATATTTTGTACATCACATCACCACACTGGCACACACAATCTGCATGAATAACAAGTGATTTGCAATAATGAAGATGTGCTTCATACAGTACATAACAAAAACGGGGTTCCATCCAGAATTCATCATGTCTACTTTCTTACAGTAGACTTGCTAATCAACAAATCTTTTGTCAATGCCACACTTGGGTTATTTAAATTTGTAATGAAATAATTAACTGCAATTCAGTAATTCAGTTCAGAAAATTTTCAGTAAAAAAATTCATGACTGAAGTCACTAAGATGAAAACATAACTAAGCACAGATGACTTGACTACCCCTTGATGGATGTTAGTTTATTTTGCTAGCATTTGTTTCCACTTCTTTCCATCACTATTACAAGAACTGTAATGTATATCTGACATAAAGGAAAGATAGTGCTCATAAGCTTGAAATAAATGCAGATGTATTGAGTCTGATAATTCCTGGTCCAAAACATTATAAGCTACAAGGGGATATTCATTCACTAACAATGAAGATGCAAAAGAAATCATACTGAGTAACTCTGCACTGCATCTTAGTTAAAACAAACATACGCTATGCACAGGTTGTTAGTCACAGAATACCTATACATATTCACACAACTGAATCTTGCCTGGCTCCCACACGCACTCATGTACTCACACATATATATCAAGAACTGAGCTTATGACTTAAATTATTACCAACAGAACTGAAACTGTTATCTTGAAACACATATTAGTTTATTACAATATGCCAACACCAATAATGTGCAAATTACACAGCACACCACAAAACCAGAGACAACACAGATACAAATATAGTAAAACCTGTCTTCATCAAAAATCATCTCTTGTCCCAAGAGCACAGAGAGAAAACAAACATAAAATTACCTCCAATAAGATGAAATAGATAGGGTTGGGAATGAGAAATAAAGTCAAACTACTTTGAATGAATATTTAGTTTCCTCTTTGTACAACTTTCCTCTGTACTGTGTTTCTTGGAATTTATCTGAGGCAGAATATTCCTGTCACAAACAGGAAATAGTTATTTTTTTTATTGCTAGTGGGGTGGGACTAAGTCCCTTGCACTGCGGCCACTTCTGACCTATTGTACCAGCCCCAGATGATAGGTGAGGATGATTATGGAGCAACTGGTGTAATGAAGACTGGCAGGGGAAACCAAAGTACTTGGAGAAAACCTGCCCCAGCGCCACTTTGTCCACCACAAATCCCACTTGACCAGAACTGGGATTGAACCCGGGCCGCTGTGTAGGAAGCCAGCGACTAACTGCTTGAGCTATGGCGCGGCCTAAGGAAATAGTTAAGTCTGGAAGTTAACAAAACATGTACAGAATGCTTTAACAGACTATTAGTTACTCAAACGTCTAACACCATTACACCAAATTCCAACACTGGACATGGTACTAACTCAGTTCTATCCTTTCATCCTCATAACCTATTATTCTGAACTCCATCTTAATTGTATTCTCCCTTTTTGTTCTCAAAGAGGGCACTTCCCTATCAAAATTCTCTATTTATCACTTATCTATTACTGCTCAGCAATTGTGAAGCGAACACAGTAGCATGAGATCCTAAATTATGATTGGCTCATATAGTACATGAGTTATATACTGTGAAATGTTTCTACACCTAGAAGAGAGAACCTGTACCAAATGGAAATCCATCTTTACCTTTAAATGATGTGCATTTAAATGCCATAGTGGGACCAGTCCTACAGTTTTCTTTTTTTGAAAATTTATATTTTAGTACTGGCTGTATGAAAAACTGTAATATTGCATATTACAGAAGAAGAAAAATATGAAGTACACGCTGATTTTACGAAAATAAAACACAGATTGAGTAGTGTCTTTTTAAATAATGCTGTTAATATAATTTCATAGATTTATATAAAAATTTTAGAAGTTTCTAAATTTCAAGCTTCTCTCACTTATATTTTGGTTGGAGGCTTCAGGCTTACACTTTCATCAGTTTAACAGATGCATCCTACTTCCCTCGCATGTTCTGTCACTGCAGCACGTGTAGCTGTCTTATGCCTTATGCTGTTTTCCCATCACCAAGTACACTTTCACATCATATGTGTTGCCAGTGGAGTCACATAATTTGTGTATTTTTATACTGAAATGTTGGTGCTTTTTCAGAATATACGGTTTGAAAACTACTCTTCCTTGGAAGTGAACAATAATTTCATCAACTGCCAGATGTTTGGAAGGGTGTTGAATTTTTAAAATGCTTTATTCAAAATTTCAAACACATCTTGTATTTTCCACAGCTTGTTCAAATTTTTGTCCATCTTGTCAATTCCATTCTTATGGTGTAAGATATGTAAAACTGATCCAATGTTGTCCAGTAGTCTGTCAGTTGGGCTCTTACGCAGTGTCCCATTTGTACTGTTATGGTCAGGAACGGAACTATTTCATGTTCATTCATGTGCAATACAGGAGACGATTCAATGCCAGTGCGTCTCAGTAATGGTGATAGTATCAGTTAATGTCCACTACCACTAGTGCATTAACTTTTGCAAAAGAAACAAGAAGAAAGTGATACATGGTCTGGAGCCGTTATCTGTGTGTGACACTTCACTACTCTTCTTTCTTTTGGCACCCTCCACATAATCATTTACTCTCCACTTGCCAGGGTGAGATAGCAATGTCCAAAGTGAACTTGCTAGCTGTTATAGTGTCTGTTGACCTGGCTCATTCTGTTCATCTTCATCTTCAGAGACATCAGGCAGAGCGGGGCTGTGTGGTGTTTCATTAGTGGTATCTACACTTGAACACCTTGTACAAACATTTGGTGAAGGTGTTCAGTCCTGCTACAAGAATGACTGATCTTACCAAAGTTGTTTGTAATCATCTGCAATTTAAACAATTGCACTCTTACTTTTGGATTCTTCCCTATCACTATTCAGTATAACTTCAGGTATCTGAGGAGGCTTTAGGAACCTAGATTTATTTTTGGAGGCTCCATTAACGTCATAGAAACCACAGTTACAAACTACTGACTGAGAAGATTATGTTTCTTTCTGCCCTTGTGCACATATATATAGATATAATATATATGTGCACAAGGGCAGAAAGAAACATATATATCTTGTGACGTAATGTAAGCTTAGCAACTATGAAATGTCGACCTGGATTCATCCTAAGAATGAAACCCACCCAAAATGACATAAACTACCTCTACAGATCCTTATTTAACAATTTCCAGGTTGTTCTTGTAAGAGCCAACCAGATGAACGATTCATCCCCTGCAGACCTCTTAACTGTACAGCAGACCTAACGGTATGATTCGCAAGAAGCGTCTCTTGTGGCTGGGTGACTGCCTACAAGACCAGTATGGCCGCACAGTCACATTGCTTCGAGAAGATACAACAATGGCATTTTCAAGCACAGAAGACATTGTTTTAATTGAATTAGTGGCACATTCATCCTTCATTAGGTGCCTATTAATTAGGATGGTATTTAATCCCTCCTCCGCTCTTGCTTTGAACAGGTCATGCACAGATCTACACGTATTTCCACCATTCTCGTTCAATATCAGGATGTAAAATTTCGTCTTCCTCATCTTCGAGCATCAGTAGACGAAGAACACCGCTTTTATCCATGCGTTTCCCTCTCATTATCGGGAAGTAGTTATAATAATTGCACCAAATCTACCCGCTTACAGCCGCATCTTAGGAATGGTGCAATCATACAGCCGTTGCGGCTTGAGTCGTGCGGCTCTTAATCGCTTCTTGCGAATTATACCTTAACCAAGCCTTCTTCCAACACTGCTAATTCTTGCTTTCTTGTGAAGGAACCTTTGTATTTCTACATACACAAATCTTGTTCCCCGGTTAGAACACACACATATAAAAGGGCAAATGATAAAGAAAATGTTGAGGTTTCTTACAAGCAGGCTTTATTATATTTATGCTATCATTAGCCACATGTGTAAATTTTCTTAAAGTGACATAAAAGTACAAGGTGGTGTGTAAATGGCAATACTGGACTCCAGCTACAGGGTTATCAAAGTGCGTGGTTAGGCAAGTTTTGTTGAGTGCAAATATATATAGTGATAAGAACAAAGCAGCAGTTTATTTCCAAAACACCATTTAGCTGGGTGCTCCCATGTGATATTAATGCAGTTAAGTTTTGGAAACAAACAGAATTAAGATAGAAATGAACTAGTTTCTGGTGCATAACCCGAACCGAACCATCACCGGTATCTGTTGCAATCATCACTGGTTGAAAGCCTCTAGAACAGAAAGATACAAACAAAACCGTCCACCACATTTTAGCGACATGCTCGGACCATGGATGGATCAGAACTTCTTACCACATAGATTCATGAGAGAGTTTGATTTTCGTCCCCTAAAGTTCCCTTGATAAGTGGGATATTTCTGCCGGCCTCTAATTCGACCTGGCTCCGATGTATCTGTAAGTATTTCATTCTTGTAGGCATAACTAAAAAAACATCTAACCCTTCCAATGCTGTACATATTAAAGATATTCTGCTACCTTTAAATTTTGCATCCTGTTGTGTTTTGTATTAAGCTATCAGTAAAACTGTATTTTACTTGTAGCTTAGATATTATGTTAGTATATTTTTGTTTCAACAAATAATTTATACTGCTGAAAGTTTCAAATAGTAAGATATGTCTCTTTCACTGATTTTATTGAACAGTAAATAAAATTAGGCTAGAATGACTGTTGTTTCTAAATGATATATCTCATGTGTAGCATGGAAAGGGTTTATACTGTTATCTGCACAATTCTTAGCAGATAAATTTAAAAAAAATCCTATTAACTATAATGACAATATATAGATGTTTTGTTCACTTAGAGTACAGTGAACAGATTTTGAAAACCAAAGTGGTTAAAATAGAAGACAGAACGTCCTTCTGTATTACTGGGAAGGGCACAAATACACAAAATGATCAAAGTAGCTACAATAGAAGACTGAATTTCCTTCTGTATTGCTGGGAAGGGCACAAATACACAAAATGACATATAAATGACTACAACTTATTGGAGACTTGCTACCTCAGTGTAATTAAGCAACATAATATATACAGACCTCTAGACGTTTTATAGGAACCTCTTCGACCCAACTGATTCCCACTGCGGCATGGCGATGCTCCTCGGCCATCATCTGGTGAGTCTGAAAGTTATTCACTGTGTTACCTTGACATACACAATAACGAAATCTAAACTCAAACCATTTGATGTGCTATCAAAGATTTAGGATTTAACAAGGAGTCCTTCATGCATATCATAAAGCATGTTTTGAAGAGATAATTCATGTTCTCGGTTATGACACCACATAGCATGGTATGTGAGTACAAACGTTTCAGAGGAACATAATCCCTCCATCTTCAAAATAAATGTGAGACAAATTGGGAAAGCCACTAGTTACATATCAGAGATGGGGGTGGCGGTTAGAAACTAGTCATGGAGGACAGGAGTACCCAAGTAGAGGAAGGGATAGGGAAAAGGAACCTTCTTTCATAAATAAGAGACTTCCATGACCTGTTCTGAGAGAAACCACCTAACCTGTTTATGTTGTTGGGATTAATCTCAATCTCAGTTGCTTCCCTCAATCAATAATATGTCCAGAAATTGGATATTCTATTGAAACTAGGGTCAATGAACACCATTCATCTTTATCATCTGAATAAGTCAACTGTAACAGAATACAGTATAACCAGGCTTATTGAATCTTACAGCAGAACACCTGTGTCCAGCCTAGAGGCATGGTCTAGATCGTAAGGAAAGCAACAGATACTGATCTACATCCCAACAATATGCACACGGATGATGATTTCTTCTTGAAGTCATGGAGACTTTCCATTTACACTCAGAAGGAACACAAAAGGGCTCTTTCAAGCTTTGAACTGGCTTTTCTCCTCCCACATGCCTTCAAAGCACCCTTTATAACTACCCTTTTCAGAGCCTCCTACTCTTTCATAATTACCCCTTCATTCACCTTGTCCTGAACAAGTTGCTCCTTTCAGAGCCCATGGTTCCCATTGAGCCACCGTGGGATGCATCTTCTCTTTGCCATTCCCAGCTCTGATTGGTCATTCCTGTCCTACAGATCCATTTTCCCCATATTTATATTTTTTAGCTGCCTACTTTCCCAATTTGGTTAACTAGTACCATGCAGACAAACACAGTTAAGTTCTTCCAAAACATTGGTACCCATGTACCAGACCACACAGTGTCATAACCAATAATACCACAATGCAAATCTGCAGTGCCATGAAAACTTCAAATCTCAAGCATGAATTAATAAAAATTAAGAACACAGAACAAAGCTCACATGCAGCTGCATTTCACAAAGCCAGGATTTCTTATCTTATATGTAGATGAAGTGATGAAATAAGAGGTTCTAAATAACACTCTTCCTGGAAGAAACAAGAAAAATCTTGGGGGATTTTAGTTCAGATCTTGACGTTCAGGACTGAACACTAAGTTTGTCTCTGATGACAAAGAGGTCAGAGTACTGGTAGGGTCAGAATTTTCTCTTCTCCATATCGTCCAGACCAGCTCTGGGGCCTACCTAGCCTCCTATCCAATGGGTACCTGGGACTCTTTCTCCAGGGGTAAACCAAAAGGGGCATGAAGCTGACCACTCACCTGCAACTAGCGCCAGTGCCAAAAAATGTGGATCTATACATCCACTCCCCCATACACCTTAATGGCATAGTACTTAATTACTTAAGCACAGGGATAACTTTACATTTTTACAATGTTTACCTTCTGAGTTGTCTATCAATGCGGAGATGCATAATACTGAGTCTTAAAAGTGTATAGTATATTTCTGTGGTTAGTAAATATTGTATTCTACATAAGGATTGACAACCACATGAGTACAGGCATCTTGGCACCCTTGAAGGAATTTCTGGTGTCTAAGAATTTTAAAATATTTGTGATAATTTACTATTTTTCACTGATGATCACGAAGCAGTTGGTAATTTTCAATTTATGCATCAAATCTCTTTCCAGTGCCAAGGAATTTCAAATATCTAGCTTATGTTCAGGTGCCATCAAAAGGTTCAGGAGAAAATAATGGTAACATAAAAAAAAATCAAACAGTTCTATCTTCAGGGAAGTAATGCCATGTAGTCTGTGAAAATCAAACAATGTTTCAGAGGAATGCATTGCCCACATCTTCAAGCCTGAAGAATATGCCAAGAAACTAGCATGAGGAAGGTACGAAGCAGAGCAAGATATGTTCCTCAAAAACACTGGTTGACCTTCAATGGACAGCATGGCATTATATCTAAGAAGACAAAACTCTTCATAACCATTGCTGTGAAAACCTCAAATCGTATGGCTTATTATTTCTTACGAACGCTGTGTGAGATAGTGTGTGCCAAATAAGCGTTCTGGAAAATGTTCTGATATGAAAACATAATAGGCAACCTACCTGCCATCTAATTACTTGAATTTGCATCTTTGTTCTTTCTGCAGATTCATTTGGGACTCATGCCTGCCTCCTAACAAAAACTTTTCATGACTAACAAAGGATATACCAAAATTTTATCAAAAGACCAGACACAAATAAGCTTCTCCTAGCTGCTTAACACCTCAGGAAACCCCTGTTATTAGGCTACAGCCTACACTTCTTCAGAATATAATCATGAAGTATATATGATGAAGTCCCAACAACAAAACAGTGCATAAAATTCCACATCTCACCTCTAAACAAAGAGGTTCCAACACCTCTGCGCTCTTCCATTCTGTCAGCCAAGCTATCCTGTGAGCCACGGTAAAAATCTCGTCTCATGTGTGGACTGAAAACTGTGTCTGGGAGGAAACAGAAACATGCAAACAACTTAACATTTGAAACATAAAATAAAATACTGCAACCAAGAAATAAGAAGCATATTCTCTATTTAGGCTTGTACATTAAGTGAGAAAAGATGGAGCACTTACTTACCTGATGTAGAACCTACAAGTTGAAAAACACCACCACTACATATGTAGACCATGTTTATGACATAAGATTCAAACTTTCTCTCACCTGCCAGTTTACAATTCACTTTACTTTTATATGCTAACTTAATGGTTACAGGAAACAATTATAGAGTGAGCACAATCAAACAAATAAAACATGAATGAAATAATACAGAGCTGTAGGATAAATATCTAGTACATACATCAAGATATTCTACTGCATAATAGATGTACAATATGCAGTTCATAACAATATTGAATGTAATAAAATACTGCAACTACCCATTAACCAAATTAACCAGAAGGCTGATGTTAAAAAATGACTGTCGAACACAATACATTGCTTACATATTTCATCTGAGACTAAGGTGCAGCCAACAGGACATTCATTATATGAAAACAAAGCACTGAAGCCTCTAATGTTCCTGCCTGGCACTCTGATATCAATAGCTTCTATAAGTGAAGATCACGTAATAAAACCATTATAAATGTTATTTACAAATAATGCCTTAGAAGAATGCCATCTTACTTCTGCATCTCATTTTTCTCACTTAATGTCTCAAACAAGGCACAGTGCAAAGAATGTACACTAACAGTGCTCACAACAAAAATCACCAGCAAATCCCCTTCCTCGCTTTCATGTAAGCATGTATTTCTCTGAACAAGGTATTGGAACTTGAGATTACTGAGCTTTTGGACTTTGTACATTGTTCACTTTTCAAAAGAGTACAATGCTCCAGAAACAGACCCAGTTGCAAAAATGCTATTCTTTAGAATGCTGGGTGATGGAAAAATCTAATAATCAGTCGTCCCGAGTGTTATACACCATCATCAAAACCCTTCAGAATTTATAATACTGAAAGTTATCTTAAAGTGCAGGGAAGTGAAGGTTACTGAAGGTTATTCATTCTGTACAGCTTTAAGTTTCCCTTCTTAAAACACCAGATGCACTACTCTGAATACTTTTAGGGCAAGGGCAAGGGCAAAAATATGTTTCCCTGTGTTTCATTATGTATCACACCAAAATGATGCAATGGAAAGTAGAAATGTAGATCTAAACATTCTTACATTCTTAATCTTGGTAAATAGCGGTAAAGTTCCAGATGCTTGATGCCAAGGAAAGGAAGCCCCCAGGAGGCTGTGTCAATGCCTGGGCCAGTTTGGATGCAGGTAAAGAGATGGTCTAGACATGATAGCAAAGGGAAAAAACCCATGACCCTCTCAGAAACTTAACTCTGCTCAAAATTCTGTTATCTCCTTGAAGGACATGATGAAAAAAGTAATGATGAAAATTATGTAACAGTGATCTCTTAAAGCTGTTAACACAATCACAGTGGGAAGGTAGGTTTCTGCTTCTGCAGCTCCTGCAGAAACAAGTGGAAGCATAGGAAACTGATATTTACATATACCCTGATTTGAAAGTTCGTAACTCATGATTCCATAACAGCTGGCATATGAGGCATTATCATCAATAAGAAGGTTCGGACCTTTTGATCTGTTCCATTCCTTGTGTGATCGGTTGGTCTTTCCAGTGTAAATTATATCTACATTATGAGTTTCCTGATATGAGAGTAGTACAAGCAGGTTTTGGCAGCCATGGATTCCATTCTCTTCCTGAACTTTAAATCCCATTTTCCAAGATATGTGAGGGTAGTCTGGTGGCTTTCATTCTGAGTACCCCAAGCACAGTAAGGTGGTTACACATGTCTCAGTAGTTACAATGCTTACTATATCCTACTTAATAGCTTCATGACTGTAATTATGGACTGTAGATATAACAGTCTAACTGAAATCATGCTTTCAGTACATCAATGCTTGTGTACGGATGACGGCTTATAGAGAGTCAAAAGGAATATCATATAATAAACAGAACCCAGTCCAAACTGCTGATGCAAAAATAATTGGTTATTTAGTTCCATAAATTTCTTAAAACTGAATATTACACTACAACTTGGGCATATGGACAGGAGGAAAAAAATGTGAAATGGCCAGTTACCTCTTTCTCTGCATTAGCTAGACTTGCAAACCACTCAGGCAGACATGTAAATAAGACAGATTGCACACACCAATTGATTACCTGTGAGATTAGATGTAGAGCCCTTTTTGCTTCGACTAGGGCTCAGGATTCCTTCGGGCATATCTCCTCCACTGCCTACACCACCACTGTCAACATGAATTGTCTTTGGCCGAGGACGAGAGCCTGCTGATGTTTTGTTTCGCATTTTGGGCACGGGCTTTGTGGCTACAAGATCAGCTTTATCAGGCAGAAGCTTACCCTACAAAATGTAGAAAGCACATAACTGTGTTGCAACAAAATTAATTTTACGTTACAATTTTATTACCACTGCCACAAACAACCATCAATGCCATCATACCACCACTACCAACTACTTTCTCTCCTCTACAGTTATTTTTGGGAGATAACTACCAACGTACTGACATCAATATTATCATCATTCTTGCTCTTGGTAGTGGTCGCAGCCACTGTGATGGTGGTGTCCATGGAGGCAGCGGTGGTGCTGGGGGTGGCAGTGGCAGTATAGTAGTCATGATCATCATGATGGTGGTGACTGCAGTAATATAAGTCATGGTGTTCGTGGTGGCAGCACTTGTCATTATGGTGGCGATGGCTGTGCTGGTGAGTCATGCATTGGCACAGCCATCAAGTAATCTCAATGATTAAGTTAAACAGCCGAGTTAAACTGATGGCTATAAATTACACAGAAAAGAAAGAAAATCAAGATTTTCTCTTGCTTAANAACCTGCTTCCATGGCCGAGATACAGGGCGCCCATATTATAAGGTAAGGTTATAAAACCACCATTTAAGATCATTTTAGTGAAAGTTTCATGTTCCTATCTCATAGAATTTAAGAACAATGATGAATAAATAATTTTCGAGCAAAATTTAAATGGTCGGCTGAATATATTACCGCAGGAGCCGCGGCCGCGGAATTTAAATGACCACGTCAAAGGGTTAATTCATATAGTCCATAATCTGATGTAGCTGTAATTCTCCTAACTCAATTTAATGCATAAAATTATATTCTAAGAAGTATAATTCACATATTTTACACACTGCAACTTTCAGATATGATTCTTTGGTTAAAAATGTGCAGAGCTGCAAATAAATATGGCATTCATGCATTCTACCATTCAGCAAAACACAGAATGTTTGTTTTTCGGGAGTGTATCCCAACAATATTCATCAATGTCAAAACCGTAAATGAAGCAACTTTCATCACGCATACCGAACGGCCTCACAGGACATCCCTAAGCATGAGATAAGTACAAGAAAAGTGTACATGTGGTTAATGATTAAAATAAATTCACCTACTTCTCGCTCTGCCTCCTCAATGGCTTTTTTGAGCTTGTGTTGTTCCAAAATGGCAGCCCTACGCAATCTTTCCTCTTCCTTCTTTCGTTCTCTTTCTTCCTGCTTTAACTTTTCCAGTTCTCGACGGTGTTGCGTTTCCTGCTCTTTATGCTGTTTCAGTTCCTCTTGCTGCTGACGACGCTGTAGTGAAAGCATCATTATTCGCTCCTTCTTTCGCTCCATTTCATCCAATGCATTCTGCAAAATGAAAACAGCCATTTTTATATTTTCTCACTGTACAATGCACTCCAAAGTTATGAACACAGAGACAACAAAACTTCACCATTACATAATTCTGGAACAATATTAAAGTTCTTTAAACGCAAACTGCAGAACAACAACAGATTCAGCTGAAACTACTTCTATTTTAGAAATTATTATTTGTGAGAAACTGAGATTGCTGTGTGCTTGGGTCAGTTACATAGCAGGATACATGACTAGCCAAAAGCTAAAATATTTCATCCATCAGTAAAGTACAGAAATGGGTGGTACACTGGTTGCTACTCTTTCTGTCTTAAATTAGACTGTCAACTGCATTACCCTTACTTAAGTTGAGGAGGCCAAGTTCATGTGCAGGTATATGTACAGTACGCCTCAGAAAGCGTGGAAAGGAATTATACTACATGGATAACTGGATGTATTATTAAGGCTTCAGGATGGATATAAATCCAGTTCTGCTGCAAAATCTTTATGGCTTGCTACATGCACAGCGAGAACACTACACAGTAATAAAGATAAAACTAATTAACAAATTCAAGCAACTACACTTTCAGGTAATCGTACATTATATATCCATACAAGTGAAGTAACGCTTGATAAAGTAAGACAAGTGAAGATCAGATTCAATGTAATGTGCCATTAAACTTGATGATTATGCAAGGTAAGGCAAATACTCATACAATCTGACTGAGCAACAATGCAGTGGTACAATAAACACGACTATTATCCTGGACTCTGTCTCAAACACAGCACTTCATGATGGGCAGTGTCCAAATAATAATTACATTTACTGTAATGCAAAATTGTTATAAAGCAAAGCCAAACTTTTCCTGGCAAGTAATGGGTGGTTTGATAAATTCATAAAGCAGTATAACTTATACAACATAAAACTAAGTGCCAAAATTGTCACTGAAGACACAGAAGCTTCACAGACATGCCTCTGTGAACTCCAGAAAATTGTCAGTTAAGAGAGTTGCAGGCTATGCAGTGTTGATGAAATTGGAATCTTTTGGACACATATACCTTACATTACATTTGTCTCAATGGAAGAGCAATCTGCATCAGGCTTTCAATCATCACAGTATTGTCAACTGTCTTATTCTGCTTCTGGATGGTTACGCTGCAGATGATTTCATACTGAAGCCCATATCAGTATTATAAAGTTTTGAAAATTCTAGGCATCTGATGGGCTATGCCATGACTGATTTACCAGTGATACGGTACTCGAGCAGAAAATGAATTTTCTATCAGTTTCTTTTTTCTTCTGGTTGAAAAGTACTATCCTAACAATATTTCCAACAGAGCAATGCTCCCCTTAGACAACACACCAAGTTACCCAGAGAATTATAATGATCTTTAAGATAATTTGAGAGTTGAGTTCATCTCCAAAAACATAACTGCCTTGTTACAACTAATGCAAGAATAAGTTATAGAAGCACCACTGACTTCCACTTCAGATGACCACAAATCATCTAAATCCTTTGCCCAGAAAGAAGTTGTACATATCATTAGCAGTAATGACCACAACTGTGGATAAAGTCTAGAAGTTTCAAGAATACTAAATAATGCCATGAACTGCTACATGAAGCTGTACAAGCACAGAATGCACTGGGAACAACAACCAATCCTCAATGTATTTTTGTTAACCAGAACTGATGAAGCTGATTTAGGCAATGAAGCCCAGTGCCAGTATCCAGCCTGTCAACCCTTTGCTTTTAACCATTTTTCCATCACCAGCAAGCCTATCACTCAAATTTTTGGCAAGTAAAGGTTAAAATGTTGTTTCTTGATTTTATTTTGTGTACCTACTATTATTTCTGATGGATAAAAAGCATGTTCTTTTTACAATCATGAATAGAAATTCATTATTTGGACAAAATTTCAAGAACATATTCTTTCTGCAATGCAGGGGTATGCTATAATTTGTTTCTTGAACAACTCACTTTCAAGGTGGAGGTAAAATGAATTAAAACATTGGTTTAATTTTATTTCACTCCATATTTAAATGAAATGCAATTGCTGATCACAGAAGCAGCAAAATATGAAACAGATACATATAGAAGTGTTTTTGTGAGTTCAAGCGAATGAGTTCTGCATTCAAAGGCCTAACAAAAGCAACCTGCAAGAGACAATAAATCAAAGTCTAGTCACAGTGACGAAGTGGCAATCCAAATCTGAAAACAAAGAAGTACCTCTACTTGACGGGAATATACAAATTATCTGTGTGTTCCCTGTCATTTTGCACACTTCACTGGGCTTTGTATACATTTACTGTAGACACAAATCTACTACTGACAAGACAATTACACTACAGATATCACAATACATGTAGTCACACATTTCTCACTGCATTCTGTTAAATATGTGTAATATGAAAACATGCTTCAAATAAAAGTGACAGTCCTTAAC